AGAAATGGGTTCATAATTAAGACAGAGCTAGCTGATAAGAAGCCCTGGTCATCAACTAACAGTTTTATAATTAATATAGCGTCCGTGTGTTTATTTGGGGCTCAAGGGCGGTGGGCTGGAGGGAAAGAGCCTCTGCGAGGGAGCATCAGGCTGTGCGACCCGTGACTGTGCTGTATCCGTCACACGCAGACAGCAAAGACGGTGCTCAGGGACAGCGAATGTGGTTGCTTCCAGGGTGGAGAGTTGGGTCGATTTCCCCTTTCTGTTTTCACTAGTACCTGGTTTCCTGCAAGTTAAAGCCAGCCAGGAACACAAAACACAGCCACCGCACAATTGTAAATATGAAGCACAAGGAAGGCCTTATACTAAAAGTGAGACCAAGCAAGTCAAGTGTGTCCTGAGCTTCCAGAACAGAAGCCTCAATTCTGCCGAGGGTTCCATAAGGCTGATGGGTCAGGACTTCCGAGTGTGGAGGCCTGGATTGTGGCAGGTACAAGCCCAAAAGAGTGTTGGGCTATCTCCAGGCCCCTTGATAGCAGCTGTTCATCGCCCATCTCTGGGTTAGAGCTAGCATCTATCCCTGAAACTATCAGGTAACCATCATGTGCTAACAGGCACCGATGTCACTAACCCAAGGCTAAGAATGTCATCAGTCTTTGAGGCCTATGACAGTTCCCAACTGCTGTCACCCGCCAAGCTGATGCTCCCGACACGTGTGAAACATGCCTTGATCTATAGTGGTGAAATTGTTATCGTATTGAAGATTGGGATTTGAGGTCATCATCAGTGCTCCCGGTCACTGTCGCCCACAGCTGGCATGGACTCTGAAGTGTGAGGGTTGCTTTTGCACGGGCAAAAAATATCACCCACGTTTTCCTTCTCGTGCACAAATGCTGAACAAGGCCTTTCACATTTAATCTCCCGAGCAGTCAGACGCCCTCCATCTTTTTGTGTGTTAGCAATTCCTGAAGGCGTTCTCAGGAGGTGATGAGGTCATATTTTAGGGAAATATACGAGGAGTATAACAATCCACCAGTGTACCCAGGAGAGACCCAATTATCCTAAAATCCAATACTCAATGTATTGGCGGGTTGGGGGGGGAGGGTGTATGAGCAAAAGCTATTGAGGTATTGTGAAAAGGGCAGGCCGTCCAAGTGATTTGTTTGACTTATGGAAAACCAAATGCTTTATTAGTATTTACAAAACCACCGAGTTACTTTCAGAAGGGGGTCCATGGAGTCTCCTGGGACTCTGTGACGGCATCTTTGGCCTCACAGGTCCTACAGGTCCGCAGGACTTAATACTGGGTGACTCCTAATTCCTTTAGTCATGTATTTTTTCGTTCATGGACCTCTAAGAAACAGTAAAAGGAAATGTGGAAATGTGATAGTATCAGAGTACTCCTTTTTGGCCTCAGATAGCCTTTCAACTAAAGTTAAGAATTTGATAAAAAGTATACCTTCTAAACACTTCAAATGAGACTATGAAACCAGTTAGCGGATACTGACGACTAAAATGTAGCCATTTTCCTTGAAACATGGACATTCTGCCTACAGTGGCTGTTATATTCATTCAAATCGCTCTTACGCTCTCAAACAATGAAGCTTCTCAACTGGTGGAATGTCGCCAGGGCGTTTGAAGAGCGCATAACCACGGGCAGCCTTTAAATCAGCAGGGGAATGAATGGACGCCTTATCAGTGCAGCTGAGGCCTTAGACAATTGACAGGGGCTCACAGACAAGCTGGCCTTCCAGCCCCAGAGAACAGCAACCTCCAGCTTCTGGCACCTCAAACCACATGATCTGAAGACAAAGTCAGCCTCCAGCACGGTGGCGGTGGACGTTGAAGACCTATGTGGTGCCGGAAGCACCACGAGGCCCCTGCCAGTCGTGGGAATTAACCTAGAGTTTTCACCAGGCTTCAAGCTGACCGGCTATCACTAAAATAAAGAAAATACTTAGAAGGCATTCATGTTGACTTCTTCCCTATGTTATTTTAAAGGCTGTGAAAACGAGCAGTCAGCTTCTCTTCTTATGGAATGAAACCTTGATGAGCTTGGGCCAAGGGTCTGTCTGTATGACAAGCGTTTTGGTCCTCGGTCTAGTCATGCGGCTGTGTTCTCCTTTCATATGTAATGAGTACATCTCACAAGTAGAAGCAACCAGCAAGCCAGTGTTCATTAAATAAATTTATTTGTTAAAATAATTTAACTCCAAATACAACTGTTGAATTTTGCATTGAGTTATAACTACAATTCACGTGTCAACTGAAATGCCGGGCTTACCCGACATTGTCACAAAAACAATAAACTGTTGTTCAATTTTAAATGGTCAGCTGTATTAGAGCTCAACAATTAACTGCGAACTGTATCTCTGGGAAACCCCGGAATCCATGATGGGTAAGTCTGTGTTCAAAGTCTACTGCATTCTAGAAACCCTGATGGAGGTTTAACAGATGCACGATGACAAGTTAAACAGAAGGACCCCCAATCTCATTGGCTGAGGAGACAATTAAAGCTTAACCAGTGCTAAGAGGCGGGGGGGGGGAGGGCTACTGATGGACCCAAGGGCAGCAGACAAAGCAGCTTCACACTCCTCAGCAAAGCTCACACTGGAGAGCCGCGCAGCGGGCGCCCTGGGGCGGCACAGAGAGGCAAGTGTCAGTAGTTTTAGCACAGGGAGTGATGGCAAACTGTAGTGTGGCGACCGGGTCAGACCCCAGATCTACAAAGCAAAGGCTGGGAGCATCGGAGCACCTTTCAGTGGGGAAGGGAAGACCCGGAAGGCTTCCCGGCGCGTGCTGGCCTGTCTCGTGGAAGCTCAACAGTGGAAAGGCATCGGTTACCATGACTACCACAGCTCAAAGGAACCCACAGGTTGTACCTTAAAAGAAACAAACCTTTAAAAAAATCTGCCTTCCGATAAAAACAAAAACGAAGCAAAGGAAACTTGCTAACAGCGAAAGAAAAAGTGGGTCTTTGGGTCAAACCATAGTATTTTTAAGGCATGTTAGGACAAATTTTCGTTTATGTAGTTGCTAGTCAGATCAGGGCTTTAAAGACATAGCAAGCAAGCTTACTAGTTCTCCTCTGCAGCCTGCTACTTCAGGTGCTCGTAAGTGTTGTCTTCCTGTCCTTGGGTTTTTTTTTATTCCCACCTTGGCAAACATCACGCAAAAAGTCGGATTCACGCCAGAGGGACAGGGAGAGGGCGTGGCACAGCTTGTGTTGGGGAAGTGATGCTTGGGCACTATGAAGGGCGGTGCAAACACTGGGCCTGAGGAACGCCTCCCAGGACAAGCCCGCCTGAACCTATGGCCTTGCCAGCCTTGTCACATTTTACCCTTTTCATGTCTGCATGGCCACAGATGACGGAAAACTGTAATATCATACACCGCTATTCATTATGGGAGTTTAAAGTCAGAGTTAGTCCCACAAGTTAGAGGCCTCAGAAGCCGACGCACTAACATCTCTATTTCAGTAGATAAAACACACTTCTAGAATCTGATTTCTCGGTATATCTGAGTCAAATCCGCTTTTACATAGTGAACTTTGTTCCAAGGAGATTGGTTAAAACTTTGTTTCCTGCAAATACAGTGCTTGTTAACTTGAGAAAATGACACCGAAGATCAAAAATGCTCAGGCTCTCTGACACCCCCAACCTGGTTTCAACCCACATTATTTATTTATTTATTTATCTCACATATGACAAACACCATTGACTTTTTTCTCCTCTATCTTCTAAGCTTAAAGCTAGTTACTAAAACACTTGGCAGGGGCGATTTCAATGGCTTATAAAGAGACTAATAATTATAAAAAAAGGTTTTCTTATACATTATTTTCTGAAGTATAGATTCTCAGTAGAGGCAATGATCTCTGAGTTGTGCCAAATTCTTAGGAGTAAACACACATGCACACACAAACACACACTCTTCTCTCAGTTACACACATAGGACTGAGCGGTTACTTGCACAAGACTTGTGGGACCAGGAAGGTGTGGGTACCAAGTGTGTCTGGGCTCGGTGGCACCGAGTCCTGAAGGCCTAGCTCATCTCCGGAGGCTGGCTCAAGGCATCCGCCCGCACTCATCTCTGAAGTGAGAACCCTGCTACACTTGATCGGGAAACCCCTGAATAGATTCTTTTCCTGTGCCATTACTCATGCAAATGATAAACACTTCACGGCTAAGGAAACCAAGGATGCTGAGCTTAGGCACCCTTTAGAAACAAAAGGCTCAGTCTAGCCATGGGCTGCTTCAGTGGCCAGGGTAGAAGAGGTACGAGCAACCCTCCCACGATCCTCCAGGGAAGGGAGCAGGAAAGGTTTTGGGGCTCTTCCCTTCCGCTCCATAATAATTTATATCCTACTTTTAAGCCCAACTTACTTCACAGGTCACTCAATCTGTTTTTGTTTTTGTTTTATGCCTACAATAAAGCTCTGTCACAGCAAACTGCATTTCCAAAGCAGGGGAGCCAAGGGTCACATGGCAACCATAGCCCTTAAAGGCTGCTTTCATGAACACACACAAAAAACTGTCTAATCTCTGTCCTGTCCTGTGACGTGTCTGCAGACGGGAACGTGTGGGTATAACATGGCTTCACTTTCCTTCCGTGGTGGTACTGGTTAGTTGACTACAACGCTCGTTAGTAAGGCTGGGCAACCTCTCCTCCTCAGCTGCTTCCTTCTTGCTCAGTAAATAAAGACCATCCTTGCTCCGTTAAGGGGGGGGGGATTGTGCACTTTCAATTCTCATGAACCCTCATGAGAGGCTATTTCCTGCGGCAAAGCAGGTGACTCAACACATTCTAAATTCTAAAACCAGATTGGATTTTCATACAACCTTGTTCTGGCTTTTACTCTATTGGGGATTGACAGGTGAGTGAATTTCATGTCACAGATTAGGAAAACACCTACAACCAAGCATCAATTTGAAGAACCGAAATGTGTCAGTGGAGCAGGCCATCTCCCTGCAACGCTGTTGGCGAGCAGCGGTTTTACTTACTGGAATACACTGGCTAGAAGGCCCATCAATTCCCGACTTCAGTACTTTCGTAGGAAAATATTTCTCCTTTACTTTTTTTTTTTAAAGAAGACAAAATATTTTGTTAGTGGTCATAGGAATTCTTCTGGTTTTTCTCTCATGATTACTTTTAATTTAATTTACACGTCAGTGGCCTCTGTTAACTCGGTGGCCAGACCATCATCGCTTCAAATGAGATCACCCTGTAGCTCCACGGTGGCGCCTTCAGGTTGCAGGCGCACAGGAGACCAAGGACAATGGTGGAGACCGCGGTCACTGGACCCACAGGGTCTCAGAGGCATCGAGGGACCATTCAGCCTGAGGGTCGCGGTGCACTGTGGATTCCCACCGCCCACCCTACAAACTGCAGTGGAGTAGGCATGGTGACCGCTGCCTACAAGCCTAGACCAGTCTTGTCCAGGGCAGCCATGCTCGGGTGCTATTGGATGTTACAGGCGGAGCAACATGGGTCGTCTTTGTCAGGCTGAGCTGCATAGTTCATCTGCCTCACAATTTCAGCAAAGAGTTCGTCCACCATTGTTTTGCTCTTAGCAGAGGTCTCCATGAAGGGGCAGCCCCACTCTTCGGCCAAGGCGCGGCCTTCATTGGAGGACACTTCTCGCTCACTCTCCAGGTCTACTTTGTTCCCGACCAGGATGACTGGCACCTTCTCATACCTGAAAGAACACACGGATTGCAGCAGTTAGCAGGCAGGCAAAACAGAGTTCTCTATAGTGCAGTATAAATGGTCTCCCTCGCCACACGGACAGTGGCTTGCACCCGTTGACTTGGCGTCCACCCGGGGCGTTCTGAAACTGCTCTCGGAGGGGATCATAAATGGGCTTTCCAAGTGATGTTTTCAATTAATCAATTATGGATCCTTTAAAATCAATTACGTGTCCTTTCCAGGTATACATGGGGAATTGCTCTCAGAATCCTGGACTGACTCCTCAGTGTAAATGCTATCTGTTCCACGAGATGGTTGCTCAGAGTTTCAGTCAGTCCTGCAATCATGAACTTTGCTGCTAGCATAACTGTCAGTATCGCACTGTATTCTGTAAGAGCACAAAACAAACCATGTTCTAAAATAGCTGCTGAACACAAAGAAAGCAAAAGCCAGAACCTTAGTGGACTTCACCAAGGTGGGACACACCAAACAGAACCACACTCTACGCTACACGGCAGCAGCCGGCAGAAAGAAGTTACGTTTTCCTTTATTTTGTTAAGGGTTACAATTTTTAGTTACTAGCTTTATGAGACGCTCTCTCCCTTTTCCTTCTGGCCTAGAACTCTGAAACAAATGATAAGAGAAGAAGAGAGAATCAGAGGTCCCGAGTCACACGGGCACCCAGTAAATCTTCTTACAGCTGGCGCTCCATGCAGAGCAGGACACGAAACCCGTCAGGATGAAAACACCCGGTGCTGCTCGCCCAGTGTCTGTGGACCATGCTGGCTCCAAGTTTTCATCCTGTTTTTTAAGACGGAGTCTCACTATGTAGACCGGGCTGGCCTTGAACTCCTAAGCCTGCCACTGCCGCCCGTGTGCTAAGATTAAAGGTGCACACCACCACTCCCGGGCTTTCATTTTAAAAGCTCTTTCAAAGGCTTTGCCCCCCCCCCGTGATTTTAGTGTAAATTCATATGTGTATATGCTTGGCAAGACTGTACGGAAGTCTTGTCCAGTCTGACTAAAGTCAGCTAACCTTCTGGAAGAGAGAAGCAGGCAAGACCCCACTGAGGCATGACTACTACAGCACATTTAGGAAATGGAATTATGGGTAGGCTCCCACACAGGATATCTGTACAGTTTCACTCTTCAGTCAGGATGGTTCTTCCTATTTGCCCTGAAGCCAAGTATCTCCCCGGTAGACACCTACGTTTTCCTTTGGGAAGAGAGCAAACTAATGCCTAAAGCAAGGGTCTGTTCCAGGCAACAAAACGCGAGGGCAGCCGGAAAACAAGTGTGAGCAGCCGGTGTGGGTGTGGTGCTCCCGCCTGCAGTCCGTCCCAGCAGCACCGAGGGACAGGCTGCAGGACCACAGGCCACACCGCTGGACCTTTTCTCGGGAGGCTGGGGAGGCGGCTCAGTTGGCAAGGTGTTTGCTTGTAAGAAGTACGAGCCGCCCAAATCTAATCCAAGGACCTGTGTAAAAGAGCCAGGCACAGCCGCACATGCTTATTCTAAGCTAAGCTCCGGGAAGGTGGCGAAGGCAGGGTTCCTGGTGTGCACTGGCCAGTCAGTCTAGCTTAACTACAGGCCAATGAGAGGCGGTTCCAAAGAAGGTGGGTGGCATTCCTCGGGATGATGTGCAAGGTTGTCTTCTGGTTTCCATACACACGGGAACATGCAAAAACCACGCATACACGTGTACACATAAGCAGTAAGGATCAGAGAGTGGGACTACATCAGGGAGAACCTACAACTTGTAATCTGGAACTTCTCTTCTTCAGGGAACAGATGGGCAGTTCTGATGAGCGTCACTGGTGCCTGCATGAGCTCAGGTACACCGTCCCTGTGGCCTCTGGGAGCACAGGTGACCGTGACAGCCAAGCTGCAGTAGAGACCTGCACACCAGGCACTTTCCACACCAACTTCTGCGCGGGTACCGAGTAGCCTGGCTGTGAGCGGACGCTGCCCAGCATGTCAGGATGCCAGTTTCTAATCTGTTCTACCCGCAAGGATGAAACTGCACTTCCTTTTCCTTCTTACTTGTTTTTATGTTTGTTTTTTGTCTTTGAGACAGGGTTTCTCTACATAGCTTTGGCTGTCCTGGAACTCACTATGTAGACCAGGCTGGCCTTGAACTCACAGAGATCCGCCTGCCTCTGCCTCCTGCGTGCTGGGACTAAAGGCGTGCGCCACCAGTGCCTGGCCCCTTCTTGCCTGTTAATGAAGCAGTTTCCAAATGGTAGCAAGGAAACCTTATTGCTGAAGCTAATACCTAACCAGCCCGTTAGCAACAGCAGGATGCAAGTACTACATTAGTACTTTCTATGCTGGGCTGGAGAAAGCGCAGGTAGAGCAGGGAGATGGAGTTCAAGGTCATCCTCAGTCACACAGTGAAGTATTGGCTAGCCTGAGGTAGACCGCAGAGAAACAAATCGCTTTACTAGATAAACCACACTATTAGATAATCACATTATTAGATGGGAGGAAACCATCTAAAGGAAGATTTCAAAGCTCAAATACAATGCTATACCATATTTTACACCTGGGACCATACTTCTAGTTGAGAAGTACAGGATAGCAGGATATGTGGATTCTTCAAGATCTGCAAACATATCAAGTTATTAGCAGTTGGCTGATGCATGTGTTCTTAGTCTGCAGGTTCAGAGTTACGACAGACATGGTGGGCCAATCTATAATCACTGCCTTGCCTTTCCTTGACCAGGCTGACAACTACTGAGTAGCTGGCCCTATTCTACAGTCTCATTCTCAAATGGGCATGCAATACACTGTCAACACAGGTCCACATGTAGTAGAATCCAACAGCTACCTGTACACATAGTAATGGGGGTGAAAACACAGTCAGTATCAGAGACTCTACTCTAATAACTCAATTGCCAGTGGTCTTTTCAACCAGTGGCGTGTTAAAGACGCTAGAGAAATGCAGGTTGGAGAAATGTAGATTGGTACCCTGGGCAAGAAACCTGACAAAGAAAAGTGTGTATTTCCAAGTACCAGATGGTGGTGAATTTTACCTCACTGTTGACACTGAAATGTGGGACAGTGGAAACTATTATAGACTAGTTTGGATGGAGGCTGAGCTTTCTCTCTTGCCCACGAATGGCTGCAGACCTAGGCACAGCATTTCCTGACAGCTGCATCTCATCTCTTCACTGGTAATAGTGGAGTTCGAGTACCTGCTTCCACTTAATGCAACAAAGATGATGTGCAGGTCAGATGAGACAATTCAGAAATCCGGATTAGATAGCACAGGACGGTGCCCACCCCTTCCTGCCGCCCCCATTATGTAAGACCGCAGCTTGGCAGAAGACAGTGTTAGGAGGGTCACAAATCAAGAGATGGAGAGATGTGCGGAGGAAAAACAAACTGTGCCGAGGGACCGGAGCTGTTAGAAACAGACAAGAGAGAGGGAGCAGAAACAATGCCATCAAAGCAACCACACCCTACGTGATCCTTCTCTGTCTCTTGATCGTGACGAGAAAGAAGACAAGCTGAAATGAGGTCTCCTGACACTGGGGCCCTAGAGAGGATCCTAACAGCAGGAAAGGAAGACAGGAGGGTCCTGCACGCAAAGCGGACAGTGAAGAGTCTGGGTCTCTTGGGACACAGATGAAAAGACAAGGGAAGAGGCAAAGCCTTGTGTTGAAGAGCACCGCACACCGGTCTGTCTACTGCTATGGCAATACGGTGCGCTTAAGAAAAAAAAAACACCACCATTCCCAAACCAGACCACGACTTCAGCCTCAGACCCGACTGTAGCTAATCATATGGACTTAGATTAATCTAACCGTCTCTGAAGAGCCTGTTTGCTGGGCTAGGTCAAAAGGACTCTTAAATGTGAAAGTTAAAAATCACACCAGACATGGCGGCCAAACCAGTCAACACCTACGCTTTACCGGGTTAATGGTGGAGTGCTCCTGCAGGTTAAGAGCTTGAGGCAGGGTGGATCTTTAGACGGGACAGCAAACTGCACTTGAGGGGTGGAGTGAGTAAGGATAAGAAAACCTTAGGAGATCCTGTGGGACCAGAGTACCCAGCTCTGACTCCCTAGCGGGAGGAATTCGAGCAGCAAGGCTGTGTGCACACGAGTCGGTGGATGCCAAGAGCTGCCCCAGGGACGGCCTGCCGTGCAGTGGTGGGTGGGTGGCCAGGAGTACTCTGGATCACACACTTTGTCATTCATTCAACCTCTTTATTTGCTAAGAGTCTATTACACCCTAGATGCTACTGAGTCCACTTATGATACACAAGAAACAACAAAGACGCCAACCCGCACGCTGATGATAGCCTAGAAGAGGAAACAGGTATGAACAGAAGAGATAATAAGTAAGTTAAGATCTGTCGGAGACAGAAGAGGCAGAGCAGAGAGCGTGCTGGGCACAGGCGCCATCCTGAGAGAGACAGCACAGGTGTCACTGGGAAGGAGGGTGTGACGCTAAGTGAAGAAAAGGGTAAGGAGTCCACCATATGTGTATCAGCAAAAACCCCAAGTGAGACATGGCCTATATATTGAGTCTGTTGGTCTGGGGAGTAGCAAATGGCTTGTGGGAGCCCTCTGTAGGACCCCCCCCAACCCTACTCAATCCTGCAATGCAGGTCACATGCTTCATCTGAGAAGGGGAACTGGGGTGCCGGAGGTGACCTCGTAAGACAGACAGCATTTACGGCAGGGTCAGCTTTATCACTTAGGACGGCTAGACACTTTGTCAGTAGGTGACAGCTGTTAACTTTCATGTCTGAGTCTCATCACAGGCCTGTGGGTTTTCTCCACCCCCACCCCCACCCCTTTTCAAAGCACACCGTTTGGGCAGAAGTTGAAAATGCAAAAATTCTAAAATCACTCTATTTACGAATCACTGCTAACCTGAGCACGGATGGAACACCACAGTCATCAGGGTCAGAAGGTGGCTGTGTGGCACAAACTATTTCTGTCTGTAGACTATGGGAAAACATTTGTCTTACTAGCGTGAATTTCCATGCTGTTTGTTA